TCTGTTACCATAGTGGTCAGTGGGTGAGGTGACTTTATTACCATGGTGGTCAGTGGGTGGGGTGACTCTGTTACCATAGTGGTCAGTGGGTGAGGTGACTTTATTACCATGGTGGTCAGTGGGTGAGGTGACTCTGTTACCATAGTGGTCAGTGGGTGAGGTGACTTTATTACCATGGTGGTCAGTGGGTGAGGTGACTCTGTTACCATGGTGGTCAGTGGGTGAGGTGACTTTATTACCATGGTGGTCAGTGGGTGAGGTGACTCTGTTACCATGGTGGTCAGTGGTGAGGTGACTCTTTTACCATGCTGGTCAGTGGGTGAGGGGACTCTGTTACCATGGTGGTCAGTGGGTGAGATGACTCTTTTACCAGAATGGTCAGTGGGTGATATGACTCTGTTACCACGGTGGTCAGTGGGTGAGGTGACTCTTTTACCATGGTGGTTAGTGGAAAGAGGGCCTCTGTTACATTGGTGTTTGTGATTGAAGTGTACCTTTAAATTGGTAGTCAGTTGGTCCCTTACATTGGTGGTTGGGGGGAAGAAAAAATCCTTGCTACATTACACTGGTGGTCAGTGGGATAAATTGTTGCTTACCCTGGTGGTCAGTTAAATGAATTCCTCTGTTACACTAGAGGTCCATGGGAAGAATACCTCCACTACAGACAGGTAAAAGAGACCATTGGTGTCAGTGGTTACTTATCTGCAATATGAAAGAAGCCTCTCCACTGGTCTGCCAGCTAACTTTGGCCCTGTACCTATGCTGGCACAGTCTGAAGATCAAACTAACACAGCCCAATGCCTCAAGGAAACCCTAGCCACCACTGGGGAACTCTAGTTGAAGAAACGGGTCCAGACTGCCAGGAAGAGAATGCCAGTTTAGAGAAAGAGAGTACCCTGACTGTTGCATTAGAGAGATACTGCTCACGTTTTAGATAGAGACTGCTGCATTAGGTAGAGAGAAACTATCTAGACTGCCAAGTAATAGAGAAAATCTGTCAAGTTACATATAGAGATGCCCAGACTGCCAAGTTACAGAAAGAGAAAGATTCCCAAAACTGGGCAGTACAAAGAGACCACATCTTTCCAAAATGTCATGCTACAAGGAGAGATTGCGTAGACTGCCTCAGGTTACCAACAGAGATTACCCAGACTGATACCAGTTACAGAGAGACCTAGATTGATATGGGGATGGAGTTCAGTTGTATATACAATTTATAGACCACAGCTAACAGTGTAAACATGTGCATATGAGGGGAATGTTCAGTATCAGTATTGGGATTTCAAGATATTGACCCTGTTAAGAGTTAAAGAAGAATTCCAGGATAGGGAAAAAAAATCATCCATTAGTACACCCCCCTACAAAAAATACTAAACAGTTAATAACATTTTGAAAATCCATTTAGGAGAAAATTCTTATTGAATTTTCATGACCACATCTCTGTAATTTAAAAGATAACAGCATCTGCTCTGCCAAGGAGGGGGTGTAACAGCAGAGATTACATCATATCCTCTCCTCTCTCCCTGCAGTAAAAGGAAACTACAGTTCCCATCAACCACAGGGAATTGTAGTGAATGTGGGAGGGTATACTAGGCCTGTACATGTTGAATGTGTCTTAGAGTCTCAGTTCGCCCACCACTTCAAGTGGGGCTGAATTACATTACTGCTTCCTGGAAAAAGAACTACAGACGGGATGTGCCAAGATCAGTGGCTGGGGGAATAGGAAGCATAGCAGCCACCAGTCTTACAATCAGGAAACCAAAGAGAATTAATGGTTTGATTTAAAATTGATAGGCTATATCAGAGCTACTACTGAGTGACCCTGAAGATGAATGCCATATTCAATGAAGGTAGGAAAATCAGAAACAGACATGCAAACATGTTTTTGCCTGGAGTTTCTGCTTTAAGCCTCTCTTCACAACAAACTCATAAATGAAATTCATTTTTTTTAACATATTAGATTTACCCTATCCAAAAATGACTCTTGGTTTTGATGGCAGGGCAAGATCTGACATTTTCTGTCTTTTCAGTTGTCTGACCCTATTCTGCCAGTTCATTTTTATGGCACCTGATATTAGTGCAATGCTTTATCAAACACAACATTTCAGCAAAAATCACACTAAGGTTAGTTATAGAGCAAATGCAAAATATTACCCAATTTTAGGTAAAATGTAAAGGATGTGGTTGTTCTGGATAAAGAGATACACAACGTGTCAATTCCTAAAATTGCATGAATAAAGGTCCTAGAATTATTGTGTTCACTGCGGTGTGCTCAGTAGCATGTAACAAGTGTATTGCAATCAACATTTTTGTGTGTGGATGCCCTGATGCATGTGTCTACGTTAGTATTTGTGTGTATTTTACGTTCTTGGGTGTAACTTCACTTTTTTATACTTTTTTTTCACTAAACTTAAGTCCTTTATGTGATACTTTTTTGACAAGTACTATTAATGAGACTTTTAGACTCATGATGTCTCAACTGTCTTCCATTACTTCTTCCTTGGCCATAGCAGATGGAGAGGGTGACAGCAGAATGTGATGGTTTACATATAATTTCTGGGTTCTTACTAGCTAGGGTAGGCCAGCGTATGGATGATCATTGGTTCCCCTCCCCTCCATACTGGTCCCAGGTCTGCTGATGGGAGTGCAGAGACCCAGAAATGTGGCAGGGGTGTGCAAGATGGGAGAAGGGACCAATGTTCCCGGCATGTGTGGAAGTAATCAAGTAGCTGTAGAGCTGCCCAGTCACTTCCATTTGACAGTTGACAGTCAGCTTATCAGATTTACATACATTCCCAACTGCTGTAGCAGTCAGGAGTGTGTAACACCCCGAGCTGCTTCTGATGTATGACCTACATCAGTGTAGCTGAGGATTAAAGCCAATGGTACCATGCCACAACCATATGTTAAACATGTTTTTAGTGGTTATAGCACAGTATTTCAGTGTAAAATCCCCCTGCCAAGATCTGCCCTCATAAAAAAACAAAAGCCTGTGTTATAAAATTGGAAAATGTATTTCTAAACAATGCTTATGGATACAGAGATGAAGGAGGGCTTGTTTTAAAGTGCTTTTACTGTTTGTTAAAAAAAAAAATATATATATATATATATATATATATATATATATATATATACAGTTGTGTTCAAAATAATAGCAGTCAGACATCACTAACCTGATCAGTCACTGTTTTTGGTAGAAATGATATTTCTACATGGCAAATAATTTACTAGCAGGTGTAGTAGAGTAATAGAAATCCAACAGACCCAACAGTCATGACATGCATGCTGCTGATTCTGTGTAATTGAATCACTAATTGAAAGGGGCATGTTCAAAATAATAGCAGAGTGGAGTTCTATTAGTGAGGTCATTCATTCTTTGAAAAACAGGTGGCAATTATTGCCCTTATTTAAGGAAGGAAGGCAGCAAATGTTGTACATGCTGGTTACAGTGCATTTCTCTCTGAAATTCTGAGGAAAATGGGTCGTTCCAGACATTGTTCAGAAGAACAGCATACCTTGATTAAAAAGTTGATTGGAGAGGGGAAAACATATAAAGAAGTGCAGAAAATGATAGGCTGCTCAGCTAAAATGATCGCAAATGCTTTGAAATGGCAACCAAAACCTGAAAGATGTGGAAGAAAGCGAAAAAACTAACATTCGAATGGATAGAAGAATAGCCACAATGGCAAGGACTCAGCCAACAATCAGCTCCAGGAAGATCAAAGAAGGTCTAAAGTTACCTGTGAGCACTGTTACAATTAGAAGACGCCTATGTGAAGCCAAGCTATCTGCAAGAAGCCCCCGCAAAGTCCCACTGTTGAAAAAAAGACATGTGCTGAAGAGGTTACAATTTGCCAAAGAGCACATTGACTGGCCTAAAGAGAAATGGTGCAACATTTAGTGGACTGATGAAAGTAAGATTGTTCTTTTTGGGTCTAGTGGCCGGAGACAGTTTGTCAGACGACCTCCAAACACTGAATTCAAGTCACAGTACACTGTGAAGACAGTGAAGCATGGTTGCGCAAGCATCATGATATGGGGATGTTTCTCATACTACGGTGTTGGGCCTATTTATCGCATACCAGGGATCATGGATCAGTTTGACTACATCAGAATACTTGAAGAGGTCATGCTGCTTATGCTGAAGTGGAAATGCTCTTGAAATGGGTGTTCCAACAAGACAACGACCCCAAACACACCAGTAAACGTGCAACATCTTGGTTCCAGACCAACAAGATTGACGTTATGGAGTGGCCAGCCCAATCCCCGGATCTTAATCCAATAGAAAACTTGTGGGGGTGACATCAAAAATGCAGTTTCTGAGGCAAAACCAAGAAATAGAGAGGAACTGTGGAATGTAGTCCAATCATCCTGGGCTGGAATACCTGTTCACAGGTGCCAGAAGTTGGTTGACTCCATGCAACACAGATGTACAGCAGTTCTCAGAAACAGTGCTTATACAACTAAATATTTCATTAAGTGATTCAAAGGAAAGCAAAATCTTCAAACATTTTTCAGTTTATATAGTGAATGTTTGAGTTTGTAAAGAAGAATACAACCACTACTATTTTTTTGAAGAGTCTAATATCACACTTTTTTTTCAATTTTTTTAGAGGAACAACACAAATTTGATATATTTTTCTTCATGTTTTGATTTGGAATAGAATGTGTAGTGTTCCCAATGCATTTGTGTGTATGGAAATAAAAGCTATTAGAAGGATTTTGAGCTTTATTCACTTTTTTCAACACACTGCTATTATTTTGAACACAACTGTGTATATATATATATATATATATATATATATATATATATATCACATGTGCTAATATCTGGGAAGAAGGACTTTCAAACTTGTATGGTCATAATTATTTTAAACTTCAGATTTTAATGAATATTTATTTTTAATCAGTTTTTTTTTTCTAGGACTAACTATTTCAGCTCAATGAACTAAGGTCTTATAATGCCAGATCAGGATGAAAAAGGGAAAAAAACGGAAAGGGCAGCTGAAAAGAAAAGTCACGGAGCATCATCAAGGTTTGTCATACCAAAATTAATGCAGAACTAAACCCACTGAACTTTTTCTCAAGTTTGAAATGTTCAATAAATGTTTTTCGAAAAATTTTTGGTTTTTTTTCATAAAATGTCTATTCTGCAATAAAAACTGTTCTGCAATATGGGCTTCTTCCATTTCTGTATGCATGTGTAGTACAGTGCACAGTGTACAATCTACTTGATGTTAGGATAAATGAACTCCCTTCTGGAGTTACATCATCCTGAACTGGCCAATTGAGACGGTCGACAATGTGGGGTAGAAGATGTCGGCCCCCGGAAAGGGATCTTGACGGACGTTGCATTACTGGAGCGGAGATGAGTATAATTATGCCTCAAAACCAAATACAACAATGTTGTTTTCTGCAGTGTCTTCATTTTCTATTAGTGCATGCTGAATGTATTTACAATGTAGTGCATGCACAATATACTGTATTCTACATTCAGGACATGCCTCTGGTAATAACTGTCACAGTACCAGTGTGCTTAGCTCTCAACTGGTCTTTTAAGGTTTCAAATGGCAGTTCCATGGACACTGCAGATCTAAAGAGACGCTAAGATGACATTTCTTTGGTGGATAAGAGGACAGAAGGGTTTAGTTCCAATTTAAATCCATGTTGATTCTGATTTACTATGTTCTATGACAATAAAACATCAAAAATACCAAGGGGGTAAATATATAGGCAATAGATATAACTTTTACAAAATTTTAAAATTATATTATATATTCAAAGTGGTAATAAACCTAAAACTAAAAATGTAACATATTACAGCATACCAGTCATTAAATATTGTGGCTGCCTTAGGTCTCTTTTTTTTAGGCTTTTTTCTCTCTGTTTTCACCTGATGATCTGGGCAGTAATACACCTCCTGTATGTTCCCACTCTGGATGAAGGAGCACATGGGCACATTTGGAGCACATGGGCACATTTGGACAGCAGCATTGTCAGCCTGGGCAAATTTTTTCAGCCATTCTCCCCTAGGAGAACCCTTGAAGTCATTTCAGGTCTCAAGGAACTCCTGCTTACGTGTATTTTTATCTACATCTCACAGCACATTAGCATGATCTCTGTAAGTTGTGCATTTTGATAATAAGGAAAACAAGGGTGTTAGATGTACTAGCAGATTTAAATACACTAACAAATTGAAGCCAAACTCCAGATATTCATGTTAATCAGAGGCACTTTAACCACTTCCAGTCCGAACACTTTTACCCCCTTCCTGTCCAGGCTAATTTTCAGCTTTCAGTGCTATCACACTTTGAATGACAATTGCGCGGTCATGCAACACTGTACCCATATGAATTTTTTTTATCATTTTTTTGAGACAGATAAAGCTTTATTTTGGTGGTATTTATTCACCATTGGGATTTTTATTTTTTTGCTATGTAAATGAAAATCCAAAAATGTTGAGAAAAAAAAGTGTTTTTCTTATAAAATTTTGCAAATAAATAGTATTTCATCATAAATCTTGGCCCAAATTTATTCCGTTATCTTTTTAGTAGAAAAAAATAACCCAAATTAGTTTATAACCAAAAATTATAATTTTTAAACATTTTATTTTAAATTGTTTTTTATTTTTTTATATTATTTATGTTTTTTTTTTTTTACATACTGTCACCCTAGCAGTACAGTGTCACCATGGTGACACTGTACTACTTGTGTAGGATGATGAATATTTTTTTTTTTTTTTACATTGATTGCTTTTACATCCATAAAGGCTGTAAAGCAATCATTTCTCCTTCTGTCTAGCTGCATTCTTGCAGTCACTGAGAAATACTGTGTGAGCTGTGATTGGTCACAGCTTGTCACATGGTACAAGGCTGTTGTGAATAGCCTTGTACCATGTGACCTCTGTGATCATTCACAGATTTCACACGTAGTAAGCAATGATGTCACAAGTTTTTATGTTTTACTCCCCCCCTAAAAGATTTCAGTTTGTTTTTCAATTGAGTTGTACAGTTTATGTCACATAAAAGGTGGAAAAGTACTGAAATTATTTATCTTTGTCTCATTTTTATACACAGAAACCTGACATTTTAACAGGGATTTGTAGACTTTTTACATCCACTGTACAGTATATTTCACATGATATACAGTCAGGTCCATAAATATTGGGACATCGACACAATTCTAACATTTTTGGCTCTATACACCACCACAATGGATTTGAAATGAAACAAACAAGATGTGCTTTAACTGCAGACTGTCAGCTTTAATTTGAGGGTATTTACATCCAAATCAGGTGAACGGTGTAGGAATTACAACAGTTTCACAGAGTTTTGAGATGTTTAATTCTTATCATAAGCACTGGCTATTAATTGTATATGTAAAGATACTGGGTTACTTTCAGGTTGCTAGCTGGGTCATTATCAGATGCTCTTAAGGCAATAAATCTACTTCCAGATGAAATGGAAGACCTTGCTGCCTAATTCACAGAGAAAGCAAGGAAGGTCTGTGACAATGATCCTGAAGATTGTTTCAGTGCATCTGATGTCAGCTCTTATAAACTGGATAATTTACTGGGGGTGAGGGTCAGTGTCTACAGAAAATACTCCAAGCCCTAATGACATAGTACTTTACAGGGGCGGACTGACCATTTAGTCACTCAGGCACTGCCTGAGGGCCCAGGGTCAATAGGGGGCCCCATGAGATGCCCCTGGTACCTTTCATAGGCTTTTGTGGGTATGGTTTGAGTGTGGGAGAGGACACAGGGGCCCCATGATTTCCTATTGCCCGGGGGCCCCATGAGTTGTCAGTCCACCCCTGGTACTTTATCTATGTTATGTTCACATACACAGACATTTCTTTATGTTTACTTTGCCCCAACAACTTCCCTCCTAGAGCCTCCCTCCCATGCGAATGGAATGGTGCAGACAGAAATAAAAGATTCCTCCTTGAAAACTAATAATAAACATATTACTTTAAATATTCTCAGTATTGATGAGCTTTTGAAATGTTTACATGATAATATTTGAATTGATGTATCAGCTCAGCATTTTTTTTTAGGAAGTGCTTTGATGCAAAAAGACTCTGGTCTCTCTTAAATGTCCCGGCAAGCAAGCAGCAGGTACATTTTTGTGTTTGAGTGTGTATTTCTAGAATCATGTAAATAAATTAATGTTGAGAGTCAGTATTGTGTACAGTGACAGATTACAACATGTGTGATCTGAGTGGCCGGCTGGTGCCCAATGCTTCAAGAGGCATATGGCTGCCCAGTATTGGCCATTTCCAGGGTTTCATGATTTGATCTATACCGGATAATGTTTAATTTCTCACTTACACTGCTCATGTGAGTTGCAAGTTGCATTAGATTGGTAACGCAATGGTATTGATTTACTAAAACTGAAGAGTGCAAAATATGGTGAAGCTTTGCATAGAAACCAATCAGCCTCCGGGTTTTAGTCAAAGCTTAATTGAACAAGCTGAAGTTAGAGGATGATTGGCTACCATGCACAACTGCATCAGATTTTGCACTTTCCAGTTTTAGTAAATCAACCCCAATGTGAGTTGCGTTAGCTTGGTAACACATTGCAGCACTGACAGACTCTAGATCAAGACACCTCTATCTTGTACAGCAGCTTGGTAAAGAATAGCACATTTCCCTCTAGTTCCAAAAAGTCCATTGTATGGTCTTGTCCCATAAATGGAGAATCAACTGGAAAAAGGGCAGGAGAGCTCACTACAATTTTATAGTACAGTAGAGGTATGTGTGCTTGCATGGACATAGCAGCCAACGTATTCAGAGAATACCTTCTTGCAATAGAGAATATGGGGGGGGGGGTGAGTGTTGGGGGGGGGGGGGGGGGGGGTAGGGTTATTCCGCTGCTATGTCATTTAATATGATGGTAGAAAACAATTCAGCTTTGTGATATATTGTAAATATGTAATATACAGTAATATAATACTTCTGGTTATGATAATATGCTGGTCCTGTGGGATATGATATACTGTGTTTCTGTGTCAGATATACCACTTCTGCTAGGCATATGTTGTTGTCACTGGTTGATATAACAGGCTTGGGCTCTTGGGTTATATGATCTCAGCTGAGTATGTCCTGTCATTTGCCATGTTATGGGAATTGGTTATAGGTACTATACCCATTATTCAGAGACATTCCAGTTGTCAACTTTTCTAGCATAAGTCTTTACTATTTTATAATGTTCTCTAAACAATACCCAGATTTGAACATGCCACCACAAACCTTTTAGTGTTCAGTGTTGGCAACAGTGTGTCAAATGATGCTGGCCATCAGACCATGGGCATCTTATAGAATAAAAAAGTAGTGTGGGGAAATCTCTGGACTGAAGGTGAATATTATAGCAATACAATGTTTTTAAACTATAAATCATGTAATAATGTTTACAGAGCTTTATTAATTTGTGAATTTTATTATAGTTTATGTGTTTAGTAAGGTATGTTGATGTCACAAACAGTAGACAAGTGGTGTGGCCCCCTCAACAGTCCCTCATAGCTTCCCCTCTGCTATCTCCCTCTCTGGGGTTAGTCAGAACCTTCTCTGGCTTCCCCTCCTAAACTTCCATAGTGAGGCAGGGTTCTCCACTAATGACCCTCTTGGTTCTGCGTTGGGTTCTTCTATTTCTTATCCTTTGGTAGCAACCCCAGAGGTCTTACTTTCCAGTAAAGCTGGCAGCTCCTGGTTTTCTCAGCATCTCAATCAAGATTCCTCTACCATGACCATGGGAATAGCCGACTCTGGGTTCTATCAGGACAGGCTGGGCTGTAGTGAATCCTTTTTCTTCCTTAACAGATCCAGTTACAGATCTGGTAAACATCTGAGTCTCTGTGTAGGTGTATGCAATCATCCAGGTCACAGAAATATGCTTGGAGGTTTATTGTTGGGCAGTATATTCAACAAAAAGTCACCACACTAGTCACAGTGACTCTATGTTGTTTCAGAGAATTCAGGATCATTGTAGAGTATTCCCTAATCTGAAAATAACTTAGCAGCCAAAGAAGCAATCTTACCCCATCTTGGGACAAAGTTTTACACAGGTCAACTTCTTCTATGAAGACCAGTGCCAAAACAAGGTCATCTGGTGCCCAGGGAAAATATGACAAACTGCATCCACCCTTCCTCAATGTGTGAGCATCATGTCTTCATGAAAATCTCCTCCCTTGCCCCCTCCCAAAAACATACAGCACTTATCTGTCCCCTCTCAAGACAAAACCACTCCACACCCCAAATCTTCCCTCCATGACAAATTCCCTCCCCTCTCCAAATCTCTCCCTCCCAGCACAAAATTCCCCCATCCCCCAATAAACAATCCCCCTTCCATGTACAAATCCTCTCATCCCCAGCACAAATGCATGTTAACCCCCCCCATTTGTGTCCCAGTACAAATCCATCCTTCCTCCCTAGAACATGCAAACCTTCAGAAGTATTGACAGCAGCAGAGAGGAAAAGAGCAAGGAGGAGATGCAGGCTGGTATCAGCCTCATCTAGTCAGTATACAGAAGTTGACACCATCATGCTGTCAGATCAGGACTGTGCAGGGTTTTACTACCTGATCCTTACCCACATTTTCTGTTGCTGGAACATGAGCAGTACTGGGAGGATATAGGGGGCAGGTAATCAAACCCGCAGTCCCGATCTGACAGCTCTCCTCTCTGCTGCTGTATTCAGTTTACTTTCACCTTTACTGCCCCCCCCTTCCTCAATCCCAACCCTGCTAAAGACTAAAGGCATTTGACAAAAGGCCAGTAGCTCCACTTTAATCCTCAAATCACTAACCAAAATAATGAATTCTGGGGATCTTTCTTTCCAGCATTTTCTCATAATAAAACACAGCTCTGTGTCAGTCCTTCTTGCTTTCCACAGTACTGAGACAGAATTCCTCAATGATCTGTTGACTGCTCTGGGGATTTTTTCTGTTTTACTCTAGTCAAAGTGAATGACATTTCTGTCATTTGTCCTGTGACTTGTAGCTCCTGAATCAACACATCACGCCTCAAAAGATGAGGTGCAGCTTTTGGACTGAAAAATATATTCATTATCTGAAGAAAAATCAGTTTATTCCAACACACTTTGGCCTTTTTGTAGTTTAGCTTTTTTGCATTCTAGCTTTCCAGATTCTGCAAACTGCTTCCACTGAAAGACCAAGCATTTTCTGGCAAGTTTTGTTTACAAGTTTAAATCAGTATTTTTTACTAGAAAATTACTTATAACCTCTAAACATTACATATATTTTTTAGCAAACACCCTAGAGAATGAAATGGTGATCATTGCAATTTTTATGTCACGTGGTATTTGCACATTTTCTCAAATGCAATTTGTTGGGGTCAAAAAATACACTTTAATGAGTTAAAAAAACAAATATATACCCCAATTTCTTTGTAAAATATGAAGGAGGATGTACGGCGAGTAAATAGATACCTAACATACCCCACTTTAAAATTGTGCACGTTCTTGAAATGGTGACAAACTACGTTACTTAAAAATCTCCATAGGCGACGATTTAAAATTTTTAAATTTAAGTTACCTGTTTGGTGTTACAGAGGGGGTCTAGCAGAATTATTGCACTCGTTGTAATGTTCACGGCGAAACCTTACAGGTGTGCTGCAAACACCGTTTTACATATGCGGGCACGACTTACGTATGCGTTTCACTTCTGCGAATGAGCACAGAGGGATGGGTGTTTTAAACATTTTTTTTCTGATTTATTTTTTATTTTTTATTTTTATACTGTCCCTTTATTTTTTTCAATCACTTTTATTCTCATTACAAGGAATGTAAACATGCAATGTAATAGAAATAAGCATGACAGGTCCTCTTTAAGGAGTGATTTGGGATCAAAAAGACCCCAAATCTCTCCTTTGCCCATAAAGGCAAGAGATAAAAAAAAATTTACTGTAAGCTCGAGAGACTCCGGCAAACGCCGGGGTGGAGGAATATCTTTTCCTGCCGCTACTGAAAGCTTTCCAGTGGCTAATGAGCCAATTGGACTGAATCAGAAAGCTGGCTGTTGGCTGAAAAAAAAAGATATCATCAGCCATAACCCTGGTAAACCACTTGAAAAACACAATGCTTATATACTGTATGTATTGTGGTCTTCAAATGGTTAAATTACCTTGTTTCTTGCACACAAAGCATTCACTTGTTTCTTGTTGCATGTAACTGTTTTTATTCCTATTTTTCATCTTTTAAGCAGACTCTGCTGTGTCAGAAGCACTGTCACTATTATTGCTTTCTGTATTCCGCTTATATTCATCATTAAGCTTGCCCTTAACATATTTCAATGTCAGTTCATCATCTGGACGTGCACCAAGTGCTAGGACAATCATTTCAAAACTTTCTGGTAAACCACTATAGTGCAATAGTGCTGCAACATGAAAATCTTTTATTTCTTCTCTTATACCTCCTAGGCGTTCAACCATTTCCAAGGTGTGGCTTATACTGTATAATCCTGCATATTCTGGCCTTTCATCAGCTTGGTTTGGTATAGCTTTCTAATCAAATACAGTTTATTTCTGAGTTTAGCTCTTTCATGCACCTTTTTTAATCCTTCCCACATTTCTTTAGCAGTTTTTACACTTACATATATATACTGTACAGCTAAAAAAAAAAGGTTAAAGGAATACTTTTTATTCAGAGTATAGCATCAAGTCAGTTAAACTCCTGGGATATTGATCTGGTCAGTTAATTAGCAGAGGGGGTTGTTAATCAGTTTCAGCTGCTTTGGTATTAATGAAATTAACAACAGGTGTACTAGATGGGCAACAATGAGACAACCCCCAAAACTGGAATGAAACAGACTTTGTGAGGGTGGCCTGGGGGCTCGATATCCTCTAGTGGGACCTGTGCTCACTGCCCAGCACCATAGAGCTCGATTGGCATTTGAAAACCAGAATTGGCAGGTCCGCCACTGGTGCTTTTCACAGATGAGAGCAAGTTAACGCTGAGCACATGTGACAGATGTGAAAGGGTTTGGAGAAGCCGTGGAAAACATTATGCTGCCTGTAATATCGTTCAGCATGTCCATTTTGGTGGTGGGTCAGTGATGGTCTGGGGGGGCATATCCATGGAGGGATGCACAGACCTCTACAGGC